TTTGCAGAAAGATGAGCATATCTGCTTTTTCTGGAAGGATACGGGATCTTTCAGGGCTTAAGGTGTCTCCAGCCGTGGAGAACACCCTCTCAGATGGGGTGGAGGAAGCCTGCACACAGAGGTAGTTTTCAGCCAGTCCAGATAGCAAGGGCAGCACATCTTGCTTGTTCCACCACCACAGTGTGGCGCTATCCCTGCAGGGGATGGAGGGCAAGCTTTTATAGAGCTGGATTTCCTGATCTACCCTCTGGGCTAAGGAAAGACGGGGCTTTGATTCACAAAGTGACCGCAGCTCGTTGTCTTCCTCCTCGAATAGTTCTTCCAACTTGCGTAACTTGCGTAAGTTGCGTAAGCTGCGTAACGTACGTAAAAAACGTGACGTAAGTCGTGCTCCCCAGAGCCGGCGCGCTAGGCTCTGTTGCTGCGGGAATCGAAAAAAGAATCGTTCAGCGAGCTGCCAAACGATGCCATGGAATCGAAAAATACGGAACCGGTTCTTAACAGGAACCGGTTTTCGATTCCCATCCCTAGTTATTCATACCATTCACATTCAACGAAACTATCTTGATAATATCAGTCATTATTTAGTTTTGTAAGGTCACCGTGTGATTCTAGAAAAAGATCCCCCAACAAATAGCTGAACAGGCTATTAAAACACAGATGAACAAATAGAACAGAAACTTCCAAAGGTGGAGATGTATGAAAACATCCCTCAGTGTCCCTGCTGGTGGGGTGGGGGCAAAGTACCACACTAGGGTGGGGGCCCCCTCTAGTAGTAGACGGAGATCTACCTGTACTAGGTAAGTCCAACATTTGGTAAGCGCTACAACATTCACTCCTTTCGGCACTTTGTTTAAATATCTATCAAAAGACCTATGAGCAATAACTTCAGTAACAGAGGGGAGAATAATATCCAAAACAGGACTAAAACCAGCTGGTAAAGACATTCAGCTCTTAAATCGCCCGTACGTTATTTAAATATTTTTTATTTTTTATTTTTTTTTTTAATAGTAGAGCAAACCTGTTATGATTCAATGTTCAGAGTTACTGGTCCTCACGTCTGAACTCTGTGAGCCTCTCCCTCGCGCGTTGTCCTGCACCGGTGTTGTTGATCCGTTTCCATGGTAACAGTGAGTCGAGCCTCTCCTTGGTCACTTTCAACTTGTTCTCTCTTGGTACCCAGGTCAAGTCGAAGCCTCTCTTGATCATATCCGACGCTGCTTCATCTGCGTTCTGGTAGGTCCGCACTCCAGAGTCCCAGAAGATTCTCATCTTTGTGAACGGCGTCTGGAATCTGACGCCCTTCTGCTTCAAGACTGCCTTTAATGGGCCATATGCTTTACGTTTTTCTATAATGTCCGAAGCATAATCGTTATCAAAGTAAAGGCGCTTGCCCTCCATCTCCACTCTCTGTTCCCAGGCTTTTCTCAGAATCATTTCTTTTGTGTTGGATTGCAAGAAATTCACAATTATAGACCTCGGGGCCGCATTGGGAGGCGGTCTGGGTGCCAGAGCTCGGTGTGCCCGCTGAATCTGTGGTTCAGTTCCTTCCGGAAGCTTCAGCTGTTTGATCAGCAGATTGGCGACAAACTCGGAAACCGATCTACCTTCTTTACCCTCCGGAACTCCATAGATGCGAAGATTATTTCTCCGGCTTCGGCTCTCCAAATCCACAAGTTTGTCGTTCATAGCTCTGTTGCTTTCTAATGACACAAGCAGCGCATCTTTCATTTCCAAGCACGCCGCCTCCAGATCAGCTATTCGGGTCTGCGCCTCGTTGATACTGCCCTTCTGGTTCTGCAGTTCGCGCATCATTTCCTCCCTGAATCTGTTGAAATCTTCTTTCATTGTTGCCTTTACATCTTCTTTGAGTTCTTCTATGTCTTGCTTCATCTCGTTTTTAAACTCTTTTAAGTCTTTAGAAAGCATTTTGATACTCTCCAGCAACGCGTGCTGTTGTAAGCCAACGCTAGCTTTGCTAGTAGCAGCGTTAGCCTCATCCTCACTACCATCTCCCGACTGCTCACCAAAATCTTGTGTTTTAGACGTCTTCTTTTCGGTCTTGTTAATTTTCGGCATCTTCCCCCTTTAAATGGTTTAGACTGAAGTTTTGATAGTTATCTGAAATAAGCAAGGGGGGAGATTTAAATACCGAAACGGAGGAGCCTGTTCCTACGTGGCCATCTTGTTGCAGCGCTGACCCGGAAGTCCCGATCTGAATGTTTTTTAATGAACTTTATGTAAATTGACAGTGTGTGGTGTCTACAGATTTCTTATCATTTTTAAAGGTGCTTAAATATGATGCAGATTAACGTTTAAACTGACATGAGTTGGTTAAGTTTCAATAGGTCCACCTTTATCTCCCGACCAAAGCGGTTCTTTGTTTCTTCTGTAGTTTTTGCTGAGATTGCACCAGTTTATCTGCCCCATTGCATGCAGTGTTGGTAACAAAGATAACCGCTACTAAATAAGTACCACAGTCAGTTTATTACTGGAACCACATCTGCGAAAGAAGAAACTTCCAGAATGGTAGCTGACAATGCACCAAAGTTTGCAGTTAATCCTTAATTCAGACCAAATAAAAATCTTCACTAACAGGGTTACTAGTGAACATTTAAAAAAAAGGCTTTACTACAGGTGTAAAGCATTGAATGGTTTGTCTTTATTATGCTTCACTGGTTAAAAAATATCCAACAGAGCTATGAAGCTGTCGACTGAACAAGGCAGTCATTCCAGCTGAAGGAAAGGGATCTTTTCAGTTGGCTTCTAACAGGGTTTTGTCATTTAAATAGCTGTCTTGCTGACTTTTCCTTCTATTGTAGCTATTGTCTACATAAGCTGCACCTAGACCATCTACCATGTTTATTGCCAGTTCCTTATATAATAATATAGGTGCAGTTCTCCAGAGTGTGAGCTTTTGGTACATCAAAAGCTCTTGTTGAAAGTTTGTAGCCTCAGTTTTCTTGGTTAGATTGGGAACTAATGGGTTTCCTCAATCTCCACCTGTCACCTCCTGTCTTTGCCTGCTTGAAATTTAGCTTGATGTTTGCAGTCTTCTGAATTATCTGGTTTGTATGTTTAAGTTTTGCCATCTTGTGAGGTTTATTAGACCACTGACACAATAGACCAGTGACCAACTAAATAACAAGACTTCGGGGAAGCTGTGCAACATAAGCCGTAGACTTGCTTTCTGAACTTAATGGGTCATATTTTGAATTTCATTGCAAAGCTCACAGGATCTTCTCAGCTCACAAACTGGCAATGGTGTCGATGTTGTGTAGATTTTACTTTCAGGCTGCAGAGTGTTATCATCTCCTCAAATTAATGTTCATATGCCAAACAGAACTACAGTAATTTGTTAAGTTTGTTCATCAATGCCTGTAACAAGATAAAATCAACGTGTCTGGTGCAGCTTGAGCAGTACACCGATCACACAAAGCCGTAAAAACATCTCTGAACAGATGTCTGTTGTGGTTGGGTTGTTACACAGCTAAATTACTGCCGCCCCCTTAAAAAATTTTACTCTAGGAAAATTTAGAAGTTATTTCACTTTTTTAACTTTTAATTATTTTTTTATTTAAAGTTTTTCAATACAGGAAACTTCATTAAAACAACCAATATCTGTTGCTAGATTCACCTGTTACCAGATTAAATTCGCTACAGAATACATGATTTTCTATGGGAAAGCTTAAATGAAACTATTATCAAATTTTAACAGAGATTAAAAAGAGGTAAAACAACTACTAAGACGATAGTTATGATAATATCTACTCCTTTCATAATAACTTCACACGTCTATGATGATATTTGGGGAATATCTTTGAACATATTTTATAAAAATTGCAATCTTTCTTTAGGTTAGTGAGCTGCAGGAAAAATAACTGATAGCAAAGTGCAAAAATACAAAGAGATCAGATAGATCACCAGGTTGTTTGTTTTAAGAATTTTATAATCTCTTCATTTAGCCATTAATAAAGAAAATATGTTTGTTTTTCATGCATGATAAATTAAACTGACCACCAGAGTATCTGCTCATATGTGCAATGAACAGGGGAGTATGGGATTGTACCGAAATAAACATGAACCTAATTCATCATTTATGGCTCAGGTTATGTGAATGTGAGCATCGAGACTTCAGTAAAACAATATCTGCTGGTTCTGCAAGATGCTATGTTCTTATTCAAAGTTAGTCGGTTATATCGAGTATTGACTTGCAGGGTCGTGCTTGTTATGTGCATTACATAATTAACTAAATATTCAGGTTTTAGTGACTACTTCAGTTGAGATTATACATGTCCCATGCAGATATTTCCACAAACAACCCAGAGAAACTAGATTTCTCTATGGTTTCGCCCTCATCCTGCAGCCCTCATCTTCTCTTCTTGCTGAAATGCGAGTAAATCTTCACTTTAACTCAAATGCATGGTTCTTCAGCAATGATTTGCTGAAAGTTTGTATTTGTAGAATATGCATATGATATGCTAGCCTGACGTAGTCCTACTCAATTCTACTCAGAATATGAGTCTGATACTGCTCCATAGAGCTGTGATTATGGGGCGTGTTTCGAACGAACCAGGAAAAAAAATGCCTCTGCACTCAATTGGATAGACCTACAACCAATAAGAGCAACGGAGTGCGTGACGTATGTTAAGCCACGCATAGTTGTTGTCAACAAAAATCAAAGCGTGCCTTGATCGCGTTTCTCTGTTCCTCTTTTAAAATTAATTTGCTGTCGATATCTTCTAGAATAGGCCTAATAGCAGAATCTACTCACCTCAACTCTACCGCGGCAGCCATTGTTGTTGTCACCCAAGCGCGCTTTGGTCACGTGGTTGATTATGTTACTGTTGATCATCTGTCCATCATCGTATAAAGCAATGCCGGACCGAACTTCCTGACCTCAAACCTTGTGGGCGGGACTAAGTTCGGAATGGCACCCAGGCTAATGATATGCACCCGCATCCAGATTTAAGAGTTAATAGTTCTTCCCTGTCTTACAGAAACCCCTGCAGCCAGATATGGGCCATAATTCTTTGGCTAACTTCCATATTGAGAAGAAGATTGGACGTGGTCAGTTCAGTGAGGTGTACCGAGCCAGGTACCTGTTAGACAACACGTCGGTGGCCTTAAAGAAAATCCAGGTAAGCTGCATCAGTATCATTTTCAACATCAGGAGAAGTGAATATATTTAGCCAGAGTGGTCTTTGTTTAAAGGTCACTATTCATTTGCTCTGTCAACACCTTTTCAGACATTCTGGAGTTGTAAAAATATCAAGTCCTCCTGCTGCAGTTGTTTCTCCACACAGAAAGGCCTTAATATTGGGAATAGTAGTGAAATATGTGAAACTTGCAAAGATTCAGGGAATTCATAGTCGTCCACTGACAGGTCTGAGGATGTTTAAACTGTGGTGACAGTTTGCAGGTTTTTTTTTTTTCTCCAGGGGAAAAAAGGTTAGTGGAGATGATAAATCTGTAGAGTTTTGCATCACTGAGAGAGACAAACACATACACTATATTGCCAAAAGTATTTGCTCACCTGCCTTGACTCACATATGAGCTTAAGTGACATCCCGTTCCTAATCCATAGGGTTCAATATGACGTCGGTCCACCCTTTGCAGCTAGAACAGCTTCAACTCTTCTGGGAAGGCTGTCCACAAGGTTTAGGAGTGTGTTTATGGGAATTTTTGACCATTCTTCCAGAAGCGCATTTGTGAGGTCGCACACTGATGTTGGACGAGAAGGCCTGGCTCTCAGTCTCCGCTCTAATTCATCCCAAAGGTGTTCTATCGGGTTGAGGTCAGGACTCTGTGCAGGCCAGTCAAGTTCATCCACACCAGACTCTGTCATCCATGTCTTTATGGACCTTGCTTTGTGCACTGGTGCACAGTCATGTTGGAAGAGGAAGGGGCCAGCTCCAAACTGTTCCCACAAAGTTGGGAGCATGGAATTGTCCAAAATGTCTTGGTATGCTGAAGCATTCAGAGTTCCTTTCACTGGAACTAAGGGGCCAAGCCCAGCTCCTGAAAAACAACCTCACACCATAATCCCCCCTCCACCAAACTTTACACTTGGCACAATGCAGTCAGACAAGTACCGTTCTCCTGGCAACCGCCAAACCCAGACCCGTCCATCAGATTGCCAGATGGAGAAGCGCGATTCGTCACTCCAGAGAACGCGTCTCCACTGCTCTAGAGTCCAGTGGCGGCGTGCTTTACACCACCGCATCCGACGCTTTGCATTGCACTTGGTGATGTATGGCTTGGATGCAGCTGCTCGACCATGGAAACCCATTCCATGAAGCTCTCTGCGCACTGTTCTTGAGCTAATCTGAAGGCCACATGAAGTTTGGAGGTCTGTAGTGATTGACTCTGCAGAAAGTTGGCGACCTCTTCGCACTATGCGCGTCAGCATCCGCTGACCCCGCTCCGTCAGTTTACGTGGCCTACCACTTCGTGGCTGAGTTGCTGTCGTTCCCAAACACTTCCATTTTCTTATAATACAGCTGACAGTTGACTGTGGAATATTTAGGAGCGAGGAAATTTCACGACTGGATTTGTTGCACAGGTGGCATCCTATCACAGTTCCACGCTGGAATTCACTGAGCTCCTGAGAGCGACCCATTCTTTCACAAATGTTTGTAAAAACAGTCTGCATGCCTAGGTGCTTGAATTTATACACCTGTGGCCATGGAAGTGATTGGAACACCTGATTCCAATAATTTGGATGGGTGAGCAAATACTTTTGGCAATATAGTGTATTTAACGTTTTTCTCAATTAAATTAGCTTCTTTTCTGGCTGGGAAATGCAAAATTACCACAACAATAAGCCAACAAATACATTTTAAGTCTTTTTTTTTTTTTTATTAATGAAGGGCTGCTATCTTATCTGACTTGGATTATTTGTAAGAGGTTGTCTAACCTGAGTCTGCATTTAGATTCATGTATTGTCTTGCAGTTTTCACTACCTTGTAAACCCATAGATGCAACAAAGATGCTGTGCTGCTCTGATTGAGCTTATATACAGGCAAACACCTTACACAGAGACTTGTGCATGTTACTCAGATGTGAAACACCTGTAGTTACTCCAATGCCGCTCTCCAGATAACAGCAACCATGTTCTGTTTAGGTATTTTCTACCAGTTTATCTGCATCCCTCAATCTTACACTTTTTGAATATGTTAAAACACCCCTCTGTCCTCTCTCCCCTTCTCCCCTTTTGATCTCTTGATAGATATTCGACTTGATGGATGCCAAAGCTCGGCAAGATTGCATCAAAGAGATAGATCTCCTTAAGGTAAAGAACCAGAGAAAAGGGAGACGGCGCCATGCGCTATGCTCTGTTCTCTTAAGGTGCCTCAGCTGAGACCCACCACCACAGGAAAACAATTGATCTGCTCCAGACGCCGTGGATTTGTGTGTGTGTGCGTTTCCTCAGATGGTTACAAATGCAAGAGGCTGTTGTGCACACAAATGGGAATATAAATGAGTATGCATGTGTGACTGTACAGTTTATTTCCTCCTCTTTTTGTGTGTGTGTGGAGTAACTGAAGAATTACACCCCTCCAGGCTCCTATTGGCTCTTTTTTGAATGCCAGAACAATTGTCTTTTTTCTCAAATCTTTTTGAAATGTTTAAAGCCAAACAACAATGCAGCAGCATGGAAATTTAACTGTCTCTCTCATGTGTCTCCCCCCTTCTTCCTCCTCGCTTTGCCTTTTTTATTTTCCAGTGAAGTGGTTTTGTTTGTTAAGCTACTTTTAACACATGTCAACTGGGCTGCTCTTAAATACTAATGAACAATCTAATGACAGTTTTAATACCTCTGCCTGTCTTAAAGATCCTACATGTCTGTCAGAAGTACTTTTCATTTTCCCCCAGCAGTGTTTTAGTTGTGACACAGGCTTGTCTTCTCATTATAATTTTGATTTCTCACCAAACAATCAGAAAACTGGAAATCGCCTCCAAAAATGCATATTTATTAGAATGAATGACATTGACTAAACTATCTGGATACAATCTTTGGAGTATTATGTATTCCCTTGTGAGGGGACTTTGGTTCATATTTTTGTTTGTTTGTTGACTTAACGGATGTTCCCTCCCAAAGAAAAAAAACAAAAAACAGTGTTATTGATTTTTGGACTCTTAGCTATCTTTAATTTTCCGTTTTTTTCGTCTGGTTAAAAATGCAAGGCATTAAAAAAACTTTTCTTTTACAAACAGAATAAAGTGCAGTAATGTAGCTTTGAAAAATCTGCATTTGGCAGGGTTGGAAAAAGACACATATGTCTGGATCATGTGACCAAAATTTACAACACAATACATGTGTGAACTTTTATTCTATCTTGATTTGAGGAAAATAAAACTGTACAAATTTATGACTCTTTATAAGTAATCCAAAAAATATTTTCTTAGACTAAACACATAAAAGTACATAAAAAACGGAAAATGTCAGTGACAAATGCCGTGATGATGAACTGCAATATTATTGAAATGTTTGTGAATGTCATATTACTGTTGTTGCACAAAAAATAATGATGCATTTACATGTTAACACATTTTTTCATTCACCCCTATTTACACATATTGCAGAGATCTGGTTCTGTCAAATGACTGCTAAACAAATGCAAATTATGAAAGCATTAAACATATAGTTTTTCTTTAAAATGTATTTTTCATAGGCCTTTTGACTTATAATTCAAACATCCTTTGAATAAAATCCATTAGGAAAAACTCAGAGAAAGTAGAAATGACTAAGAGGAATAACTGTTGTGCAATAATGTCTGACTAACCCTGATTTGAATATTTTCCTAAATATATTTTTTTACCAGAATCAAACATACCTAGATTATATGTAAAAGAAATAACCAATATATCTGTCATTCAAACACATTTAAAAACTTGGTTCTATGGACCAGTCAGACATGGATGAAGACAGAACCCATTTTACTCTGAGCAGTAGTCATCAGAGTAATCCCGCTGGACACCAGATCTGTATTTCTGACCTCATAAAAGGGGTCGGGGGGGAAATGTCTCCCTTCCAGATGCTATTTCTTCATATATTTCATCTGCTAGCTTTCTGTGGATCCTTTTGTATTCGAAGATTTGTTTTCCTCTGTCCCCTTCTACCCAGTTTTCCCTCTACTTGCTCCTGCCTCCTCTTTCTCTGCCGTTTGGCTAGTTGCTTTGTTTTTATATCCATCTCTCTTTGCTGTCTTTTCCCCTTGCCTCATTTCCCCTATTCAGAGCTTTTCGTTCGCCTTTTTCATCCTGCAAGCTGATTGCTAGTGAACGTGGAAGTTATGCCTGGCCCCGCGCTGCCTAGCCAGCCTGATAATAAACGAGTGAATGTGAAAGAGACAGTCCTTCTGCCTTATCCTCCAGTAGACAGGCCAACAGCAGACACAGCTAAATCAGAATAATGAGAAGCGCTCTGGCATGGGCTGACTGAATTGACACACACAGTCGCCTGTGATCGCACACACGCACACACTTACACAGACATACTCAGTCATGGCCATCCAACAGTATGCCTATTTGTTTGTTTGTCTGTCTGTGTTTATGTCTGCTCATTCATCTGTATTTTCTTGTCTTGGCATGAGGATTTCAACTTGAGAACCTCACTTTTCACTTCTCTGCTTTTGTCTAAATTATCTTAGAGAGGGATGTTGCTTTCAGTAAAGAGCTCACCCTATTCCATTTAGCTAATTTTTCTCACCATGTCTGCGATCCCACTACAGCACAGTCATCTCACTTGTGATTATTGTGATGCCTCAATTGTCTCCCGACTAATGATCTCCTTCCAATCAGCAGTGGAAGATTTAATGATGACACAATGTAGATGCGTGCTTGTGTACATCCATGTCTGGGGTTTACATCTGATTAGATTAGAGCAATGGTTTACTGGAAAGATGGATCAGACATTCTTTTTTTTAAGATGGCAAATCTATTTAAGGGTAATAAAATATGTTAATAAAAAAAAAAATCACAAATAATTCAAAATCAACTATTTTACCATTTTTATTCTGTAAAAACAGGAAATGACTTCCATAGATTTATGATCTTATCTGGATCTATTTTAAGAAGGACATGGAGAGGTTTGTTTTTCCTAATTGGAATAAAAAGATCTCATTATATCTCTGCTTCTGTCTCCTTGAACCCCAATCGGCCTCAGCAAATGGCCGCTCACACTGAACCTTGTTCTGCTAGAGGTTTCTTCCTGTTAAGAGTTTTCCTCTCCACTGTCGCTATAAGCATGCTTGGTGTGAGGGATTGCCTTTGAGTCGATGCAATAAACTGGTTTTCCTTAGATAGAAAATTTTGAATCAATTTGACTGTATGATCTGGTTGAATTGTAAAGTGCCCTGAGATGACTTGTGTTGTGAATTGGCGCTATATAAATAAACTGAATTGAATTAAAACTGAATCTCATTAAGAAAAACTGCAGAAAATGACAAAGTTCTATGAATTATGGGTGAACAAAGATAGCTGTAGCAGGGAGTAAACTCTCTGATCACCTAGATCTATATTTCAGGGAGTAAGGGGCTGGTTATGCTCCCTGCAGCAGTGTGTCGCAGTGAGCTCGACGCAGACACTTTTGATTTATGCTCAGTTTTGAGCATGGTCTGCGCTATAAGCTGTGGGTCTAGATTTGGCTGAGGTGGTGAGGATGTGGGGGCGAGTTTTTTCCGACAACGGAGGGACATAACGGTGAAAAAGAGCAGGATCCAAGTGGAAAAAGGGTCCCACCGTTGTCGCGCACCTCTCTCTTCTAGCTGGTCCAGCTTCACAAGTCGTTTTCCGCTTTTGCGGTCATAAAAACAAAACTAGCCGGCCTCCTGTCTGCGGCACTGTCTGTGCTCACCTACAATTTGGGAGAGGTGCAGCAGAGTGTCTGCGGAGGGGGCGGGGACGCCTTTTTGTTCACTGCGACACCTATGCAGACGACCTAGTTTAGAAGTATAAATTAGCCTTAAAGCTACAGCGTGTAATTTTCAGCGACATCTAATGTCCAGACTGCAGACCGCAGCAACATGAACATCTCCCCCCCACCGCTTCTCCCCCCCAACAGTACGGCGAGCGTTACGGGACAAAATGTCTTCCACGACGTCCGCATCACCTACCTTCTCAAGTGATGAGGTTTGTTTACATAGATAATTTTACAGATAGTATTTCATTAGTCTGTGTAGGGTATAGATTTCAGTACCGTCTCCGTTCATCTCTATCAACTTGCCGTATTTACTTTTGAGCGTAATGGGCGATCTCGCAATCGCTAGTTTGTTGGCTCTGCGCTGCCGTAGCGCAAGATGTCTGCCTCCATGGCTGCGAGACTCGCTCCTATGTAATTATAAATAACGAATTCTAAGGCAACGCAAATATTAAGGTTAAGAGGCTGAGCTCGTAGATGATGATAAATAACATAGTTATGTATAATATATTACATTTCTGACCGTATATCCCTGTAATTATTACACATTGTAGCTTTAAGAAAGAACATGCTTTACCTTCTGTTTCTTTTTGAGATCTACTAATAGTCACCTTGCCTTCTCTTGCTCTGTATTTTAGTTCCTTTCTATCTTGGCCAAAGGAGAGTAAAAAAAAAAAAAACCCTCATCATTGTATTATTTTCCTTTTTCATCTACAACATGTCACATGACACTGACTTTTAGTTGCCTTTTTGGCTCAAACGCCATGTTGTTGCAAAATTAACCGCATTAAGGATTACTCTCTTTTAATGGGATGACAGAAGGTGAGCTAAATAATTATAATGGAGTTACAGCCTTGTAAGTTAAATATCTGATTATTTGGAGAAAGTGGAGCCTTGGATAAGCACTGCTTAGCTCGCTAATAAAACATACTCTGATGTGTGCAGATCCACCTCTGAGTAACACTGCTACTAATCAGAGCTGGAACTAAAATGTTAATGTTAAACTCAATGCTGCTTGATTTAAAGTTTTTTTTTTCTCCAGGTGTTATATGTAACTAATGATCTAAAGGCACAGTCAGTTTGTAACCAACTGCTTTTAAATCCCTGAGTAGGCTTCCAGTTTGTTAGAGCTCCTGTCTATTGACCAATGAGAACATCTGATAAATCACCATATAAAGCTTCCCTTTATGCACCACAAGTCATCCTGAAGAAATGAGTATTACCACTTTTAGCCTCTACCACTTCTGCATTTTTCTGATTCTAAACCTCCAAGCTACCATTCTTCTTCAGCCTTCGGCCATGTTCACAGCTGCGCCGTGCTTGCCAATTTTCTTTCTCTCTTACTGACATTAAATGAAGTGTCTGCGTTACATTTGTAATCCAGCCTCTTTCTGCTTTGTTGAATTGACCTGTTTTATCTTGAGATGTAACTGAAACCGATGTGGTTCATGTTTCGCGGGACTACTTACCCTCTGGCATGTGAATCCATGTGCAATTACAGAATAGTTTAATTTACTGGCATGTCTGCTTTTGTACCTTCAGTTTGGATTAGTCTGTATCATCTTGTTGTTTGAAACACATCACCAGCTCAACAAATGTATCACAGTCTTGCATGATTAAGTAATTACACACGCTGTTGGGTCTCAGCCAGAATGTGTAATTACATAATCATGCAAGGCTCTATGTGATATTTCCCTATGAGTGATTGTTGTATTGCAGTTGGGTCCCTTCCATCATTTACATAAACATCTGCATGTTAACATATCTTTTCATTTCTCTGTATCTTTCGCCTGAGGTCCAAGTTGAGGAGGAGCAATGGGTTGTGGTGGGCTGAGGAGAGGAGGAGGGGGGCTTGTCATCACTCTCTGGCTGTGCTACATTGTGGAGCTGTGCAGAACTGCCACTCTGAGCCAAAAATACATCTGGCAAGAAAGGACAAGGGAGGGAGAAAGGGAAGATGGAGACGTGAGGAAGAGACGGAGCGAATGAGGAAGAGGCTAGCAGAAGGATGCAGAGTTGGGAGAGTCTAGTGTAGCGTACTGTACTCCACTGTGCTCTCCTTTTCCCCTCTTCTCTGCATCATCCAGAGCATGAACATTTCTTTAATCACAGCAGAGGAGGCTTAGCAGAGCCGAACGGAGGACGCGTGTCACACCCCTCCGTCTGCTCACATCACGGCTCCAACTATCCACATATCAGCATCTCTCTGCCTTCCCTTCCCCCCATCTCCCACTCGGCTTACCTTATCCCTCTCCCATCCTGTTTTCCATCCACACCTTTGTTCTTTTTCTCCAACTCTTCAACCTTGCCCTGACTGCCTTCCGTTCCCTTGTCTGTGTCACTGTGTCATTTGTATCTTCCCCATCAGTATTCCTCTTTCTCCCCAACATGTCTATGGCTATGGATAGAAAGAAAGTTTTTGTTTACTACAGGGAAAGCTGTCCCTGCCTTATTGACCAACCAGCAGGAAGGAATCTCCACTAGCGATGAGCCATCCACGCTAGCTATTTTTTATTTTTATTTTTTGACTGCCATCCATGTCAGCCTGTCACGCTTGTGTGTGTTTTTGTGTCTGTGTGTCTCACACACATGGGTTGTTGTCATCATAGACAGGGGTTTGTTGTGACATGTCACCCAGCTTTGTCACACTTGAGGACAAAACCTTCTCATTAGATCCCCACGTACCAAATGTATTTTGTTTGCATGGTTTCAGCCATTTTTATTTTAATTGGTGGTGAGGGTACAGCGAGTTGCACAAAACACACACCTTTGTTGTGCATAACCTTGTTGTGAGGATTTTGCAACAACTGGAAAAAAAAAAAAGAACTAGGAAAAAGTGACCAAGGATTCCCAGATGACAAATGTCACCAACATTTCTTCTGTGTATTTAATTCCTCTGCCAGTGACAAGCTTTCCTTTTCCCCCTTCCAACAGCAATTGAATCACCCCAATGTGATAAAGTACCACGCATCTTTTATTGAGGACAATGAGCTGAACATAGTTCTGGAGTTAGCTGATGCTGGGGATCTGTCTCGTATGATCAAGGTAAGCACCTCTGCTCAGTAGTTTCACTTACAGTTTCTATTCTTCAGAAATAACAGTTAATTTGTGATGAAATACTTTAAACCCATGTTCTGTCTCTTAGAAATTGCACCTTGTCACAAATGTCCCTGTACGGATTTGTCTAAGCAGTTAATATAAAGTAGCTAATATTTTTGGTTAGGAAGGCAACTGACTTAATGGTTTTTAAGATTTTTTAATTTCTTTTACAGAAAAAAAAATGTTGAAAAGCGTGGTGTACCTTTTTATTCAGCCCACTTTCCCTGATGCCCTTAAATAAAATCCAGATCATCTTCAGAACTGACCTAAATAGCAAAATTTGTCTTGAAGGGTGTTTGGTTGTTATGCACTCTTTAAAAATCCTGGTGAGATCCTTTAATATACCAAATTTTAAACTTCTAACAAAGTGTTTTTCACTCCATCATCAAATAAGAAAGTGGCACACTGCCAAACTACAGAGTCCACCCAGAGCCTAAATGATCCAGGATGTCAGTTGTAATAATGGAGAATTTGGATGAACGTTCTATAAAGTTAGCCTTTTCATGACATAAGAAGGCCATTTTGAAAGAAAGTGATGAAAGGTCCAGTTTGTAACGGTATCTGTATTTGTACTGAAGGAATATCCAGAACAGCCCTGTCAGTTTACATCACTCATGTGCCAAACCAATACTCTGTTGTTTTATTTATTAACACACTCACAATATTTCTATGCAGAACTAAGGTGGAAATTAGATGTTCTGCTCCGCAGTTTTAAAAAGTGATACCTAAACAGAGCTATAGGGACTCCCAGCTATCACCAAAATCTGAATTTTGCAAACACTAATGTTTTTTTAGTGAGCTGTGATGGAAAAGGAAAGATGGACCGAACTACCATATACATTCAAGCTCCATTTTTTTCAACTGCTATAAGGTTGATGTGCTATTGACTGAATCACTTACCGTGCTGCACACCAAGCTGAATGTAAACATCCCTAGTACTGGAGAAAAATCATCTTAAGTCCAAATGTCACTAGATCCAGTCAGCCCAAACTTCATAAATGGTGAAATATGCACATTGATGAAATCCTTATCGATGAGGAAGGACGATAAGGACACCACGTGTCTCTCAAAGCAAACTAACTTTATCAAAGGATATTCCTTTTTTGAAATGTCCCACATACTGCAAACAGTTAAATTCACAATCTGGCATTATTTTGTTAACTGATGTTCACACAGCCACTCCACCTTAACTTAATAAGCTTGAGCTGCTTTGCAATGAAAGGTTGCCAAATGATTCTGCTCCTAGATGCAATAAAGTGATAGAAACCCATTTTTAAAGACCTGAAAATTTAATATCAGTTAAAGGTAATTCAAGGCAACCAAATGCAAAGGCATAAAATAATTAAAACCCAGAATTTTTTCTCTGGTTTTCTCTATAAGGTTTTATTTTGTTGGTCTAAAATCCCTTCAAAATAACAAGTCATGGTTTGTAATGTGAAAAAGATTAAACTATAAACACTTTTCAAAGGCATTATATATTTATCACCGTTATTAAACATGGCTCTACACCAAAACATGGAAAGAAATCAAAGTAAATACCACAGTGAGTATAACTTACATGGTTGATATTGACCATTATTTTACACTGTGTTTGAAACATTAACAATAAGTAAAAAAAAAAAAATCTAAATTCTGAGAGGTGAGGCCAGATGTAAACTCGACCCGCTCTTTATGATGCTCTTGTACAGCTGTTTGCACGCACAAGCAGAACCTGCCAGTGGGTCCTTTGATAAATGAAGGCATGACTGCAGAAGGCTTGTGGTTTGTGGTTGTTTTATGGGGGTTTGACATCCTGGACACTGAGTCTTAATCATGCCTTCATACTGGAACAAACTAATATATCAGGCCTCCTGCAAGCATCTTTCATCTTTCTAGAATGTGATTACATCTGCCAAGACTGTGAAAGAGACATTATTAAAGATATAGAACTGTGAGTGGTAATAAAGTTTAAGCCTCTGTTGAGTTTAGAGAAAAATTTTTAAAAGAAATATTTGCTTTTAAAGTTGCAAGTTAGAGTCGTAGCAATTCTTTGCATCAGTTCCTAGGACAACCTTTAGAAAAGTTTTTATTTTTTTCCACTACTTCTCAAGTTGAAGTATAATAAAATTTGACGTAAAATCTCAGCATGCTTGTTTTTATTTCAGAATTTCTCCTAAATTTCTTAAGTGTAAGAAAAAAACTGGGTTGTTCAGCAGTGGTAGTTCTTTTTATCCACAGCTCATGCTTCTTCTTCTTTCCTTGACTAGGAGTTATACCGACACCCCAGTTATCATAAAAATCTGCCAGTAAAGCAAATTAGGAGTGTGTATGTAAAAAGCCTGGTCTTCTGCTATGCATAAATGATGCTGCAGCGTTGTATCAGCACAGCTCGACAAGCTGTTTGCAGTCATACTCAGCAGATCCACATCTGCACAGTTCAACATAGCAAATTAGGAGAGGCGAGGATTAGTGGTACAAGAGAGTGAACATGGCAGGCTTAGCACACACACACACACACACACATACCTTACACATACATATAGTCTACTTCGTAAGCAGAGAAGGTGCAGACGCAAACATGGAGACACAGATTCAAGCAAATGTTCCGAGTTGCATTTTACAAAGATGCAACATGGCAGGTAACTTGGAGGAAGGATAACAAACTAAGTGTCACTGCTATCTTAGCTAAGCTTTCGAGGATGGTGATAGTATTAGGGTTGTGTCATCAGCCTTATGTCTGCTGACAACACAAACTCTTAATATACATGCTACTTCTCTGCACCATTTGTCTTCTGCACTCTTCTAATTGATTGTTTTTTCCACTCTAACAGTGGCAGGCCAGATGTTTTTGCCAGATTTTGGTTACTCCTCGACAGGATGTAGTGTTCAGCCAACACATTGATACAACCTGTCGTGCATTTTCACAAAAAAATCCTAATAAGATGTTTTAATTTTTAATATTTATTTTGCATGTATTCTCCTGCAAACTGTCCAATTTCTCTATTATCTCCTTTTCTTACTTTTCTGTTTCTCTCGGACCATCTCAGGTTTTTAGATAAAATCAGATGGTCTTTGATTTGCATACACTTACAGAATATTGCATGTGCAGTGTTTTCTGTTAAAGGCATAGAAAAGAGGGTGATGGTGGGTGTCTATGTGCTCCCCCATTGACATCAAACGGTCCTCTGATATGGAAATGGGGGGCAAAGAAAGAATGGCTCCTTACTGAGGCTTTGTTTGGATATAGGCCAAGGTCTATTCCTCCCTTTCTTCATCCACCCACCTTTCTGTATTCCTCTCCTTATTACACCTTTATCCTTTTTTACTCATCCCTCATCTTTTTAATTTTCTTCACTGCTTTGTTTGTTAGCTAAAGTCAGCTTAAAGTCTTTGTTGTCCTGTCCTCTCATTCTTTTTCTTCACTTTAATATTAGCAATTTCCAGTAATGCACCACCTGAATTTATACATTAGATGCTTAAAACCCTCTCACTGGAGGAGTGCTACAGTTGCAAATATATCCCAGCTTCTGTCGGGTACGGGGATATTGGGAAATCTTAACGCATGCAGTGAACAGCGTCTCATCCCTCAAACATCCTCTCGCAGGTTTATTTAAGGAAACGACCCAAATGGGATGTCGTTTCAGAGACTGCTTGGGCTCAAATGGTGAACAAGTGATTTAGGGAACATGTCACTTTTTTTTTTTTTTAACACACATGAATAGACACCAGAGTCCAGACTTAACCAGTATGTTGCTACTGGGTGCGACTCCTCTTTCATTAGTATAAGATTGTACCAGAAACTTTTCAGTATTAATGACGGCTAAATTTTACCAAGTAATAATGAATATTTATATCCTTAATAATTGATGGAAATAACTGATTTGGCTTTACGGCTTTTGAACCATTTTATATCTAGGGTTGGCAATTGATAAAATTATTACGATTCTGATTCTCTTATCGATTCTGTTAAAAATGAACTTGGTAAGTGCACGCTGACATTCGTCTGCCTTCGCCTGGGATATTCTATTTCTGCTGCCTCTGCAAAAACAGAAGGCAGTAAACGAGAGCTGTCATCCTCTGAGCAGCCAGGCTAACCGTCTCGTCACAGTCATCTAAATCTGATGCAGAAGGCATCCGTTTAATGAAAAAGCATTAATGTACAATTTCACATGTCATTGCAAAGCCCTTCACAGAGACAGTTTAGCCAGATCATTTAGTCAGAGTGATTCAAAGTTTTCTATCTAAACCCGAGCTTACATTGTGCGATATTTTTTTTGCCCTTTTCAGCCCTTTCAGCCTGATCGTGTGTCGTGTATTGTACAGGGGGTAAAGAGGGGTGATCTGCCTCTCACAACCACCTCCCAATCATGTTTGATTTTCAGTCCACCGTGGTGGGCATGCGCAAACAAGGATTCTTCTGCTTCTCCTCAGATGAAAACACAGAAGCATGGCGGGGGTGCGGGTGAAATTGAGTTCTTTCTGTAACATGGACAGAGCGTAGTAGCCATGTTTGCTCAGCTGTGTCGGCACAAAGTTGCACAATTTGCCAAGACAGTGCTTTTCACTCTTGTGAGCTTCATATTAGTCTTCTACTCGTTTGGCTTCCAGATAGACGAGTCAGAGTAACGGCATCTCACTGCGGAGCTGAGTCCGACGTGGTTTTTAGGCATACAGTGTGAGCAGGTAGATTGCATCAGAGCATCGTGAGCTGTGAACTCCTACTGTACGACGAAACTGCAGGGTAGATTGTGAGCTGTAGCTGCAAGCAACGATTGAAAACATCACACAGTGTAAGCCCGGCTTAAGAAAAACCAGTTGATTGCGTCGACTCATTGACTCGAAGGCAATCCCTCACACCAAGCATTCTGGTAGTGGCAGTGGAGAGAAAAAACTCCCTTTTAACAGGAAGAACCTCCAGCAGTCGGCCAGCAGAACCCCAGTCGGCCATCTGCCGAGGTTGACTGGGGTTTAAGGAGACAGAAGCAAACATACAGAAGGAACCTGACATACAAAAGGCAACTGTCAACCAGCTTCACAGGCAGCCCCGTCCAGGACACACCCACCCAGGCAGACAAACTCTGAGCCAGCTCCCAAGTCAGAGGATGAAAGTGAGCACATCAAACCAGTCAGAGAAAGAGGACTACACTGAAAAACAGGCCAAGCTCCAACATCTATAAACAAAGGTGTTGATGGAAGTACCATCTTTGATTTTTCTCTCTAGGATGGTGTCACTGCCAAACAGGAACAGACCAGATTAAGCTACTAATCAGCTGCTAAGCATGGGAGGGGTAACATCATGCTGAGGGTCTGTTTCACAGCCTCTTCATAGAGATTGCAGAAAGAATATATTAGCAGGCTACAGTTTAAGCGCAACATTGTTCTGGAACAGATAAAGCGGATTAATATTCTGCTGCTGAAACAGTTTTGACTTCAACCACATTGAGACTGACTGGGGTGTGATTTTAAACTGGGTCCCTTCTAGGAAACCAATCACTTTAAACCAACTCCACTAACCATGACTGAAAAGCCGTCAAGTCTCAGTTTGCATTAAACTAATAAATTTTTTAATGGCTTCATAATATGAACTTCACTGTGCCTATGTGTATTTTGGACGTCTGAAATCCGAAAAAAAAAATAAAAAATAATAAGAAGAAATCACATTGTTAAAACAATAACATAATATAAACGGCATTCATCATTCGTCTGAGTATACAGAAGCTTCTAAACAGAACTGTTTTTAGTGTAATTTTGATCTAAATTTTAACTTGGTAATGTTACCTGTGCGTCAGCAGGGCTTACCGTTGTTTTTCTGTCTATTCAGTGATTGATCCCTACATTTAGACTGGTGGATTCTATACTATGCTAACATGCAGTGCAAGCATATGTTTTTATCAGATAAACCTACTGAATCTAGCATACATTACCGTGGGAATAAATCCTCCTGCATTAGCAATACCAAAAGCACACGGAGGCAACTTCCTGCCTTGGATTGATTATTGTGTGATATATTGTTCTTGCATGTTGCTCCCTTCTTCGGAGTGCTAATTTAGCGTGCCACACTACTCTTCATCTCATTACAGATGCAAACTTTGCATTATTTATGATTCCGTGAGTTGGACATTGACCACTCGTAGACAAAAGCTGTTGTATACTTCTGTCTGTAAAGCAGTCCTCTGTAAACCTCTGTTTCCTCGCCGTCTCAGGTCGGATTTCCACTCTTCTTAGACCAGTTGCTACTTTCTAATGTACCAAGGGTATCGATTGATCCGTAGGAAGGCTATTTTTTTTTTTTAAATAAACACTGTGCACCTTGAACGTGGAATAATTTAAGAGCTCTTAAGTTTTGCACCTTTATATGCTTTGTGTATAAGGAGAAGTGCTGTAAATGACCAAAGCTATTTTAATAGAGGTGTTTTTATGGTATTTGCCATATCCTGCCATTGCTGCATTTTAATGTGCTTTTAATGAGTTTTTACAACTCTTGCTTTGGGTCTCTCTTGTGAAACAAAATCTTCATGCAAGTAAGACTTCCTGTTCAAATACATCCTTTCCAGAATTTTAAAGACATTTTTTTGTTGTTTTGCTAAAAGTGGGTTAAATGCTCCAACTGTAATTCTCGTGTGCACAGCTCTCATCTAACCTGGTTTACATCCAGCTTTTCTCTCCTGGAGTTGGATCCTGAAGGACACCCCATTAAACTGTGCTCATAGGAGAACTTGATACATTTTTATAGCCTGCACAGCTGCCCAAGCAGGAGTTCCAAGAATCAGTTATTTCATTTATTCTGAGTTGATTAGTTTGTCTTTGTGTCACCAGTGTGCGTTTTTGTTTTTGAGTTGAACTAAGTGTTGATAATCAAGAACAAGTTCTAGGCTTCTCAATAATCCTGCAGGTATAAAGTCTGAAAACAGGAGGAAGCGTTCTGCCACTGTAGGCTGTGTGCCAGATGGTGGAGTTATAGAAAGGCACCACAAATTTCTTCTCTCTGCTTCTGAGAATGCATGTGCTTTCCATTGTAGGCTGCAGAGAAAATGAGACAGAATTTGGTTAGGCAGGGGACAGACGATAGCCTGGTCTGGCTTCCATTAGCAGTGGAGTCAGTGTGTGGGGAAGGATACTCTACAAACACATAAAATCCTACATGCCAACCTAGTAACTCCATCCTTTGTACTTTTTTCCTATCTCTAGTAAAAAATTTTGTTTGTCCATCACCCTTGCTTCATTTGAATGTAACCTTGGCTCTTTGTTTTTGTTTACCTACTGCAGCACTTTAAGAAGCAGAGGAGGCTCATCCCAGAGAGGACAGTTTGGAAGTACTTTGTCCAGCTCTGCAGTGCGCTTGAACACATGCACTCCCGAAGGGTCATGCACAGAGGTAGCGTGACTCTATATATATTTTCATACGTGTGAATAATGAATTTCTGATTGTGTGTCAATCTGTACTTCCACTGAGAAAATGAAACTGTGTCTGTGTGTGCGCTAATTTCCTACATGTAAAGATTTAAATTTGATGAAATGTTTGTATCTTCCCTTGACTTGAACAGTAAGACATTTTGGAAATTAAGATAGGTGTTTAAAATAAGAAAAAAAAAATATTTTAAGGGCAATAGTATTTTATTTACCTTCTCAAATATTTTCTGGATGTTTCTTACTTTTTTCTTTTGTATAAAATTGCTCAGTTGCTTTGAATGAATCTTATCTATGAGCCTTTCAGTGATATTAATTCATACCAAAAAATAAAACTAAAAGTAGCTTTTTAAAAACTTATATCATGCTTTTCTCACAATTTAAAGTTCCTTGTGGTAGGGGATAACCCCTCCCCCACCTGTTGCTGTAAAAACCTGTTAGTGGTTGTAAAGAAGGCCTCTCTAATTTTCCCTCTGGAGAATGACCAACTTGTCTGCCATGGGGATGTAAAGAATCTGCTTTGAAAACAATTTATGTAAAGATATTTCCTTCAAGCTTATAGGGAGGAATGCAAATGTGGTAAAGAGATGGCAACAAGTATCAACAGGCTTCATTTACTTCAGATGTATAATGTTTTTTTCAGGCTTTTTTCTCTTCAATTTAGCATGCCGACTGGATCAAGTTAGTTTGGGAACCATGACAACTGTAAATAGTGCCATATACAACCTTGAAAAAATATTAAATGAGGTTAATTACACTGCCTGGACAAAAAATAAATAAAAAATAAAAAATTGCCACCCAAATTTAACTAAGCAGTTAGGTGCAAGCTGCTCATGGAATAGTTACTGCATTTGCGATTATGTTTCAGCTGGCAACAAGTTATATAACCCTAATAGATACAATGAGTTGCTTCTCATTCATTTAACATGAGAAGGTCAGAAGGAATGAGGTCGGCTAACTCTTTGGATATACTGAATGACCAGGTGATACCAGGATTCTTTGAGCTCCAACTGTTAAAGAGTGGTTCAAGAAGCATGAGACGTCCTTTTTACATGTGGATTGGCCACCACTGAGCAGTTTAATAAAGGCTAAAAGCGGTCCAACAAAATATGTCAGTATATGACTTTTTTTTTGGTGCCAACTGTTTTTGGGCTCAGTAGTATATGTGAGAAATTAAAGCTAAACCTGGGAAATTTATCTCCATTACATTTTTACTTTTCTATCCACAAAAGCAGAACAATAATTAGGTGCAAGGAAATCATTTATGCTTGGTGTTTTGGATGGTAGCCATTTTTTGGGGGATAATTGTTGTTTTAGCTTTGCTTTATAATAGGGATGAAAACTAATAATTGACTTATGATAAATTGTAAAAAAAAAAAAAAAAAAGGCAAAAAAAAAAAAAAAAGTTTGATTTATATTATTTCCACCTAATTACCTGATGTCCTTTTAGACAGAACTTTGTGGTGTGGCCCCCAAACAGAAGAGGGCGCTGCTGTACATTCTTAAATTGAGCCACACAATGATATTTTGTAATCATGCCAAAGGTATGCTGAACAAAAGTGTAAAACAATCCAATTAGTCTGGTGGGGGAATATTTTACACTGCTTAATAGCAACAACCATGTAAAATGCACTTTGTGCGGTTCTGTTTGTAAATCTACATCATTGAGAAGCTCCTTAAGTTATCACCTAAATAGAACCCATTTAGCCATTAGGCGTAGCAGAGCATCATCCCCTTTTCAACCACAGAAAACCGGTGTGCTAGAAAGGCGAGATGTGATGATGGTCAAGTGGAGGGCAATACAGAGGACAGTCATAAAATGGTATATGATGCCAAAAGGCACGACTGTTTGTGACAGATTTCGTTGGTTGCTGCACTTCACGAAGTCAGGTTTTAGCGTCCCTTTAACTGCAACCAACCATTTAAAAATCATAGCTAACCCTTCATTGACACAAAGAGCTAGTAAAGTCTGACAATATGACAGACTGCCTGGCTTTAAATGACAGTATAAAATCTTTATCGATGGAAGATTATTCTACTTTGTTTTTCTTTTATCATATTTGTTTTTGTTTTATTTTATAAACATGTCTAAGTTTAGTAATACATGAGAAAACCAAGCCTTTTTTATTTAGCATACTGTAGAAATATTTTTTCATTAATGTTATAGACAGACTCTTTATACAAGAGTTATCAGAATTATCCCTAATTAGCAATGAGTGTTTTAACATTACCATTAAATATACATGGATTCTATATATTTACTCTAATTCAGATTTTTATTTTTCAAGCCCTAAACATTTCTCAAATGACCTAGCCTGAAATCCACAAAGTATCAAGCAGAGAAAGTTGTTGTTCTCTGTTCAGCCTTCTTGTTTTCTACTGAAAGTCTTACTCTCAATCTCTGTTGGAGACTGAATACATTTTGGAAATGTCTTTACATGGTTCATTTTTGTTAGTTTCTTAAAGCTGTGTGTTCTCTCAGAACTAGATTTTAGAGAGATTACAGATGAAGACGGCTAACTTCCCTTTATATCTTTTTTCATGCTAAAGTGTGTAGCCTGTGCTGCCCACTAGTCTGTCATCGTTCAGGACCAATCAGACTGAAAACCATTTGGTTTTGGTCACAGGCAGGTTTCTTGTGCATTTCCAATGATAATTCAAAAACAAATCCTTTGTTAAGAAGAAAACTACTACAGAGAACTGTTAACAGTCATTACTATGGCACAGTTTTACTTGATCTCTTAACTTGGACGAATGCTAACAATAAAAAGCTCATTAATGTGCTCCACACCTTGACAGGCTTAGAGTCTACTTAACAAACATCTAAAAAGTAACGTCTGTGTTTACGAGGTCTCATTCTGGTATCATGTGCTTAGATTGCTGCTCGTTTAGAGACCTTCTAGGTTACAGGTGATGCATTTCCATTAACACTGACTTTGATTAGGAAACAGGGATACTAATGAACCCTGAGCTCTGAGCTCTAAGAGCCACTTAGCAGCAACGGCCTATTCAAAGGCTGCTTACAATTATACAGGAGCTGTAAATTTCAAAGGCTTCGGCAGGTCACATTACCATTACTTCAGAAAACAGCTTGCTAACGCCCACATTAACTGAAATGATATCTTAATGTCTCTTATTTAGATGCTTATTTTGTGCTCTGACCAAAAAGACAGAAAATGTTAGCCAAATTAAGTTGGGAGATTTATTGTCTTTGTGATTGTATTTTCTTAGATATCAAACCAGCCAACGTGTTCATCACAGCTACTGGTGTGGTTAAACTGGGAGACCTGGGCCTGGGAAGATTCTTCAGCTCCAAAACAACTGCTGCTCACTCGCTGGGTAAGTCACAACAGTCTACACATAAATATACACACTGAGCGCCTTCTGGTCCACCAGTGTTTCATTAGGCATGGCGAGTCTGGTGCCATGTGTCATGTAGTCATCGAGCCTTCTCTGTTGCTTAGGCCACTTAACCGCTTCCTGTTGGCTTGACCTTTAACCCTGACACTGTTAAGGTCTGAGGCTGGAGTCACACAGGTTTTACTGTGGCTGGGTGTAATAAAACAAGCCAGCCTGCTCTACAATCATGGTTATTGTTCATGTCAGTGGACAGGTTAGGCACTAGTAGGAAATAACATCCTGTAACACCCTATTTTTCCTTAAAGGAAGTGAAAGCTGCTGGACACACTCAAAATATTTTGGAAGATGGAGGACTGAATCCCATTGTACCCCCTGCTCTTCCTAGGTTTCTGAGATCGAGAACTGATTACAAATAGCACATTGTTTACGGTGTTTGATTTTAATATAAAAATTAGATAAATCAGAAAAATATAATTTTCTATACTCTGTTTGATAATTATAGCTGCATCTCATTAAGTTAGATTATCAAAAGTTAATTGAACTCAGTAATTTCTTTCTTTAGGTAACACTCGCAAAAAGTGCCATATTTCATGTATTCAGTCCTGGGAATTTTGTTTATTGATGCACAAAATCTTGAATTAAATGAGTTTAGTTCCAAAATAGAAACCTGCTTTGAAAGTTTGTCAGTAGAATTTAGATTATTAGCATTTGAGTACCAAATATTGCATCAGTGCAGCGTGGCATGGATATAATCAGCTTTTCTCCGTAACGAAGTAATGATAAGGAACCTATAGCAGTGCCCTTCAACTCATCTGGGTCATTGCCTCTGCCTTTTCTCCGCAAACTTCCCCTTGGAAGTACACTTAGACTTGGACTTAGAGACTTAGACAGACTTTATTGTCATTTTGTACAAACGGAGTGTATACAAAAACAAATTTGTTCAGTACAGCTCTCAATAGATTTCCATTTCTAAAGTGCAGCAGTGATTAAAAATGTGAGCAGCAGTGATAAAATGTAAACATGGTGGTCAAATGTAAACATACTGGTATATAATTTACAGTTTCCAACATTCAGGGCTTTTTTTTTTTAAACCCAAGTAAGATCTAAGTCTACTCCATACTGAACTCTCTAAAAACCTAGTCATTCTGTGGTTTAAATCTGTTGTGGTACGTTTTGCAGAGTGTATGTGGTACCAGGTCCACAGTATCTCCCTGAAGCTCAGCAGAAAGAAGCACGGAGCCCTTTAAAACTCCTGTCAGATGGCTGCATTGGCACCAGCAGATGACGGCTTTTATTTCCATTTGCCCTGGTTAAATACTCCTGACACTGTTTCCTGGGTCAGAAGTTCCTTAAGAGAAGGAATGGAAAAGTTGTAATCCATGTCCAGGATATCACAGTCTGTCCCCAGCTGCACGTCACCCCACAATAAAGGCAATAAAATAAAATTAACCTGAACAATTTCTACTTATATTCTGATTGAAATGTGTCTGTGTATTACAATAAATATTGGTTTTTAATGTTAGGAGTATCTAATTTGATATCTTAAAACTTAAACCCTGCCTCTTGGTTTTCTTTAAAAACCCAAACTATTCAGGTTGTTGTATGGATGTGTTTAGAAACAAAACCAGCTAAATGATATAATCCCAGTTTGGATTTCAAAGCCTTTGAATGAGATTAATAATACCCAGTTTAGAGCGTTCTAGTTCCACAGTGAAGAGCTGCTACGATTTGCAGTATGTTTTAACTACTAGTAGAGGAACATGTTAACAAATAGAGTTGTATGGAAATGTACTGTTGGGCTTTAACATGGTAGAAACTCATAAAATTACTATTAGATAGTTGATATCAAGAACTTCCATCAGTGTCTTTTATGTGGGCAGCCATATTGCATCCTGAATCCGGGCTGCTCTGTAAGTTTTTCTTTAAGTGTATCCTAATGCTTTAGCAAGGTGGAAACTAAACTGATCAAAGAAGACAGTTTTTTGAAATTGATTCCAGAACCTATAATTTGATGGTGCCTACTTAACCTTTTATACAATGTTCAAGCCGTAGGATTTGGTTTTGTTCTCCATATAAGGGGAGTAGAGGAGCATGTCATGAATTGTTTCTATCAATGTCTGTCTAAAGAGATTTGAACAACTCAAAGGGAGCACTTTTTTTTATAACTGTTGCAGAGCCAAGCTTCACTGATCTTAAAAACAATTTGTTTGATATTTGCAGGACTGCATGTTCTTTAAAACAATAGGTTGTGAACATGAGCTTTTTAACAGACCTGTGCTACCAGCTGTAGGAAGCTTGCAGGGCTCCACTGTGTGGTCTTGATGGATAAGACTTCCTTTTTTCTGTCCCTGTTGGGATCTGGGCAGTCAGAAGTTGGTTGGCCTAAGTCAAAACCAGGAGCTCTGTCATGTTCCTCAAGCTGATATTCAAGTTTTCCCTTTCTTTTTTCTCTTTCTTAACTCCAGTAGTCCATATAGTCATGCATGTGGTGGTCAGTGCTGTCAAGGAGCTGCTTTACCATGACAAGTTCTGCTGCTCTGTTTAGGTAGATGATTGGTGTAGAAATAAAAAAGAAATAGTCATCTGAAAGCTGAGCCCTCAGGTTGTCAGAGGAACATTGTATCACAGAGATTATTTTTCAGAGCCATGTACTTTATAACATATTAATTCTTTTAGTTAATTATCATTTAAGTAACAACTTACGCTGACCTCAGAATACAAAAGTTGTTTAATAAAATACAAATGCATATATTTGTACACGTAACTAAACACATCGTAAAATGAATAACCTCTTCATAGACCTTTTTAAAAGAGGATAAGATATGTTATACTAGGGAAATCACTCCTATTATTATGTGATAAGATCCTTGCTCTGTTGCACATTGGAGTTGTAGTTGCGGCAGTCTAGGAAGCTTAAAAATGGAAAAGCAAAAATGACCTTATTTCCCACCTCCCTGTCTGAAAGGTTTCATTCACAATCTATTCCATTTAAAAAGAAAAAAACTCAAATTAAACGCACATTTTATAGTCTCACTATCTTTATTATCCAGAGATCCATTTTTCTCTCTGGTCCTATCAAAAAGTGATTGTCCATTACAAATGCTTTGTCACTTTTTGAATAAAAAAAGCTCATTAATACTTTATATGCATACCAATTTATGGTTAAAAAAATCCCACAAATAAATCACTTTTTTAGTGCTCAATTAAGAAAAACCATTAGACTTTTACAAATAGAAGAGAGTTTATTTGTTTTAGCATTTTTAAAAGCTGTAAATTAAACCAAGGTGCTTAAGATGATAAATGGAGAGAGAAAAACTTTTAAGCAAAAGCCGATAGATGGCAGACCTCTGATGCAGATGCTGTTCAAACCTACTTTATTTCATGTCAGTCCTTTTAAACTGATAGATTTCTGCTTTTTTCAGATATAGGTGTTGATGGGATTCTGTTCTGGACATGAAAACAATTTAAAGAACCACTGTGTAGACAGATGTTTCCCTGAAGCTGTAGTTCCCAGACCAATGGGAGTGAGATTTCAACAAATCATGAAACTTATTAAAGTTACTGAGATCATTCATTAACCGCATCAGAAAGCACCAATTAGGATTCCTCTGCAGATTCTAGTGAAGTAAATCCTATGAGTATTTGATGTTCTCGGTAAAGGTGGTGATTGCTTGTAACTGATGTATTCACTTTCTAACTGCATGTACGCTCAAGTCACTGCTAGGTATAAATTACTTGGATAATTACACCGCTAATGTAAAGAACCGTAAAAAAAAAAGGATTTCCACCCTTACTGATTTGTTCTATATTTTGTCACGTTTGCATATTGCAGTTCATCAAGATTCCTCTAATAAATACATAATCTAGTGTTTAAATTATTTAATTAGTTAAGCCACAAATATATCTACACCAAGCAGACCATAGGGATGAAAAGTATTTGCCCCCTTAACCAAATAAGGGTTTGTTCCAAATTTGAGACCAGTTTTTTTTTGTTCAGCAGTGGTTTGTGCTTTAAAACTGTTGCCCAGTGTCCTCCTCAATACTGGTTAGTGAACACTGACCCTAAAGGTATGGTGGAGGATGTTCTTTTTCGGGGAGGATCATCGAAATAAGTGATCCTCCTAATTGTCAATCTTTTTGCTGATATCTTTATGTAAGGCCATCCTACGTACTCGTTCCCATTTTCACTTAACCGTGGTAAGTCTGACGTAGTTAAAAATTGCAAATCTACTTTTGGAAAGTAAGTTTGTTTTAGCAATACAAACATGAACTTTTAAAGAGCATGCATGAGAAGAAATGGACTCCTGCATGCTCTTGCATGCGTTTTATTGGCGTTCCTTCTCAAGAGTGGTTACAGGGTTGTGCATGTGCACTTTTTTTTTTTTTAAGTGGAGAGGGCGAGTCTTTTCAAAAATTTGTAAAAATCCTCCACTATACCTCTAATTGAGTCTAGAGCGACCTGCAGCGCTTTGAATGTTCTTTTCTGTCCTTCAGGTTGAGACTGCATTGTTCTCCTAGAGTGTTAGGCTGACCAGTGCTGTCACAGTTCTTAATTGTTCCAGGTTAACTGCATTAGCTTTGAACAGCCACCCCCAAGCAGTTTCATAGGCTTAAGATATTGCTTTATAACCCCGACCAGACTGATACATATCAATGTGAATTTCTAACTTATGCATGAATTATTATTTTTTTTTAGATTAGCCCATATTGATATTCTTAGCCTACCTCATGTTTACAAACAGTTTCCTTTAAGGTAATTCTACTATACTTTCTGTAATCAATTACTTTTAAATATAATTGTTTAATCAATTACCAATATGGACAAGTTTATCCCTGATTAAGGAAGTGGTTTTGGGCAAACTGCATTTTTGTTACAGTGGGGACTGGTTGGAAATGGACGGTTTCCTGCGTGATTCCTGTGTGATTCCCACGTGAATCACGTTGTATTTCCTGAGGCCAGTTTTTTTATTTCAAAAAGA